AGAACTTCATGTTTCACTCGCTGGAGACACACTTGACTGTTAATTAGCCAAACGAACGAATGAGACGGGGAGAGAGGGTGAGAGTCCAGGAGAGGAGGACGCAGAAAAGGAAAGAGGGAGAAAGTTAGAATGAACGTTATAAGTAAAAGAGGCTGATTAATTGAAGGTGTTCATATCCTACACATCTCCTCAGCTTCCCTCGCTGGGATAAGTTATTAACTGTCCTGCTTTCCTCCTCCCTGCAGGTGGCCATGGCAACGCCGGAGCCCAGACACTGAGTCTTACATTCCGATGCAGTGTGTTTCAATTGTTTTTACTTTCCCCTTCATTTATTTCTAGGTCTCCCACTATGACAGAGGCCATGATTAAAATGCTGGACAGCTCTCAGTTAGAAATACAGCCTCACTTGCATCATTACAGCACACATGACAGGCTGCTACACTGAGCTGTTATGGCTCGCTCACAAAGACTGGAAGCACACTTGCAAAGTTGACAGCGTTATAAATTCTGTCTCACTCATTCAAATAATTGAGCTAGAATGTGAAACAGTCAAAAATTAAGCATAGGTCAAATCGTGAAACAGTAACTACTAATAAAGCAATAAACAGGGGCATAACAAGCTCTGCTTTTTCTTGCTATGGGCGATGATTTATTTTTTTCTCAAAGTGAAGTCAAATTCAGCTGGTAAATATTTAATGATTGGGGTGAATGACGTGGAAAAGTCACATTTCTATGCACTGCAATCCCACTGAAATAGCATAAACTGAAAATAAGGGTATAAACTGAGCTATGTACCTGTGCTGGGAGAATAGAACAGACTGAAGAACTGGAAAAACAACGGGGCTACATCTTACACCTTCTTCTCTCCATCAGCTGACCTTTAACCCCTGCTGTCTGTTCTGAAGCGCCAGCTTTCTCATGTCTCCCTTGCTACAACTCTAATAGGGTTATGGGATGGGAAAGGAACCACTAATTGTAACGTATGGTTAACATCTCTTAAGATTAGCATGACAGCCTGACTACAAACCATCTTCCAAATGTGGGTGTCAGATTTGCAGTATTGCAGATCTGAGAGGGTTAAATGCCACCACTTCTATGGCTCAATTAGAAAAGGATACGGTTAAAGTCCTGAAAAAAAGTCTGCAGAATCTTTATCCCATATATCCCATATAAATGTTACCATTATATTTCAAGATTGACAAATCAGTCCCATGTTTTAACCACCGTTATGAGAGCAGATGATGGGAGAAGTGCAGCATTCTGTCAACTTGTCTGTCAAACTATCAAAGTCACATTACCTCAATTGCCTTCTTAGCGAGAGGACTGACTAAATCTGGGGCTGTGCTGCAAAACTCAGCAAATGGACCACTTTGTGTATGTTAACTGATATTTCCCATATTACTCCGTGAGATAATGGTCTTCAGTCACATCCAAACAGACTGGATCTAGAGGTAGAGCGAGTGCTTTGCGGATAGGAATCTCTGCGTGTGTGAGTGTTACACGCTTCCCTGAATGTATGACTGAGGTTATTAAATGAAAGTTAAATTACATCTACAGCATCCACTGTGATTCAGACTTTCCCAGAAAGTCGTAAATGCAATTTAATTAGATGGGGTTGTCAAATGGCAACCATCTTTAAGGGATGCAAACTATGCACTTCAAATATTATCAAATCCAGAGACAAATTTTACAATTGAATGGGACAACTGGATTCTAATAAATGTGTTTTATGAGGCATTTCAATGCCAAATGGCCTATTATTTTGATTATTAGCAGCTTTAATGTAAGAATGTGTCAGATTCACATGGAGCGCGCACATGTTCAAACACTGGTAGAGCCACACACAGCTGGAGGCTGTTTGTGAGGAATCGGTTCTGTTTGAGAGGGGAAAACTGCAGTTAACCTTTGCAGGTTTTATGAAACAGAAGTCTGAGGGAGAGAGTTGTGCTTAACTCTTGGTGTCACATCAATATTGGACCAAGACAAGCAGGGAAGTGGAGTGTTTCAGTTACTATAAGGCTTAAAGGGCTGGATGCTAAGAGAAAGAGACAGATGGCATCAACGTACTGCTCAGCACTGATGTACTGGTCCTCCTGAGGGTTGCATGTCACTTTCCCGATGCGGACTCCACTCTGGATGTCTTTGAATTGGAGTCCTAGGTTCTCACCGGTGATGGTCAGCATGGTTCCTCCCTGCCTCGGCCCCGTCTCTGGATGGAGCTAGTTCAAAGAGTAAAGACATGTGGACATAAGTACATAAATAAAAAAACATCACTTTACCACCAGTGTTCACTCAAAGGGGTGCTGAAAAAAAAACTTTTATGCCAGCATGAACGAGACTTTACTTAAGACTTTCACAACTGTCAGGGTTCTGCTCAATATGAGGCGTGTGTGATACCTCATTAGGTAGGATGACAAATGACCCAGGACCCATTTACTCCACCTCATCTCAGTCAAACGCCCACAACATGCCAGCACACACATATAACCTGGACCCACCCATCATGCCCTTAACTGCACCTCTCATTTAACCTCATGAGGATTAATCTGGACGATTATGGCTCACAGAAAACTCGGCTACCCTGTCATTCCTCCAAGTCTGTGAACAGAGTGCTGAGGTACTAATGGCTACCCAGGAGTAGCTTCGCCACTAATCACGTCCCATTCATCCAGCCACATATACAGACAAAGGTAATCAGTCACTTCTACCATAATTAGGCTTAAAGCTAATTGGATTAGAACATGGCAGGGCAGGGAGGTCATTTATGGTGACACAGAGGGAGGTGGAAGAGGGGGTGGATTGCCGGTGGGGTCTCATAGAGGGAGGTGCATTTGTGAAAAGCCTGCCACACAGAAAGGATCAAAGGAACAATAATGTCCCTATTTCTGCCCTTCAGTTCTTAAGTTTGATATGAATTCAGTCAAGGGCAAATACTTTCAGGTGGAAAAAAGGCACAGGCAGTGCACAGAGCACTTTCTTTGTACAGCTCACAAACACCTTCCACAGACTTGAGATGTATACTTATGACAAACATTGTTTTAATTCTATTATTTCAGTTTAAGACTGCAAAGACGCTTGAAATGTATAAAATCCAACCATTCCTTTTTTATTTTATTCTCTATCCTTCTGCAAAGGTTAGTAATCTTAACAACCATTTGAAATGGTTTATACATCTGAATAATGTACTTAAATTAGCCAGGGTTGATCTTTTTATTTATTTATCAGCCTTTGTTTTGAAAACTGCTGAGAGCAACCATTCCAGCAAAATGAAGGCTTCTCGAGCTGGACCTCTCTGTCTAGCTTCATTACAGAGAAGCAGACAAGGAGTCAGGTTATTGAGAGCCACAGGTGTTCAAAAGTGGGCTAATAGAAACACGCAGTGGGAACATAGCCCAGTGTCATGAAGGCCACAACTGAAACGTCACAGTGATATAATTAGGAGATGTTTTCCTTTTCTAGCTCCAAGGATTGTGGACATCCCTCTTCCTTTCCCTCATCCTCTAACTTTTGCCTTTTAAGCAGCTCTCCTGAAAGTGTATATTTTAGCTGGGGCAAAACAGGATGACTGGCAAACCGTAAAGCACCAGTCAAAATCCTCAGATATGGTAATCGGCCTCTTTTTGTCCATAAGCGCTGGCTTATCAGACACACTCACACACAAGTTGTAACATCAACAACTAAACAAAGCACACAAAAAGCCATTTTTGATACGAGCCACAAGCCTAAACACTCGCTCCATTCTCCACTTGCCGTCACAACGCTATGCATCCATTCAAACTCCCCTTTTTTCTCTTTGTGGCTGCCTTGTCCTGTTGTATTGGGGGCTTTGTGTCAGGCCTATTGTGTCTGGCTAAGCAGCAGTGCACAGATAGCATCTGCCAGTTATGGGGGAGGGGGGCGGCACAGAGGGATAATATGAGGATGGTGTAAGGCATCTGAAGTTTATCTGCGATATGAAAGTCTCTCCGAAACAAAGAGTTAGAAACAAACTGATGGTGGCAATGAAGCAGATCAGTAAGTCTTTGCCAGACATTTTTTACATGTTAAGTAGAGAGAAAAAAAAAGATTGCAGATAAGGAGCTTGACAGAGACAGGGAACAAGTCTGAAACTGAAGCCAAAATCACTTTGGGGCCAATTATATCAGTCTGGCTTAAGCCTGACAGCACTGTTACATGGTAAGACGATTTAAAGTGTGTGGCTAACATCTTGTTGCAGTCCTTCCTTGATGAATAAAAATTTTAAGTGTTTACATAGATCTGGCTCATTTTAGGTCTCTGAGCAGTAACGATGGAGCTTATTGTTCAGCACTAAAACTCAATCAGCAAATCAAAGAAGTCTGATCGATGAGGGGCTCTAACCAGCACAGCATATCGCTACCTCTATCAGTGTCAACTGCTATTGCTGGCAAGAAAAAGAGGAAGACAGAATGACAACGAAAATAAATAATGTTAGGAGGTGGTGAAGAAAGGGAAAATGGTTGATACATAAAAGACAAAGATAAACCATCAGGAGTGGCACAGGAGACGAGTTAAAGACAGGACGGACATGTCAAGGGTTGGTAGGATGAAAAATGCAACCTAAAGACTGCGGTCTAATAGTACACAAGGGAGAAAAGATTGGCTTTTCATTAACACAGAAATGGCAATGACACTTCTCCACAGAATCCATAAACACTTTCAGTTCACTTTCTTACATAGAGAAGTTCACAGAAAAGACAAAAAAAGAATAAACACTCAGAGCATACAAGTGTGCCACATGCAGATATACCAGAATAAAAACCGCTCTATCACCACCCCCACACTGGCATGGTCTGCGTTATTTTAATTGGTTTCTAAGGGCTGTCTGTAATGCTCTTTCTCTCCCAGAGGGGAGGGCAGAGAGGGGATGATGGATGATAGCGGGTCAGGCAGCATTCACAACCAGAACCGGGACACTGCTGAGCTACGGTGGGACACAGCACTGTGTGAGTGTTTGTTTCCACCCACGTGTCTGTAAGCGTGATCTTGAAATGACCAAAGTCGTATGGCGTTTTGTCCTTATATATCTGAATGTAGGCGTCTCTCAGAAAGAGTGAGAGCTGGATCCTTTTTGACTCGTCTTTGAGCACATTCACATGCTTACATGCAAACTACTTGCTCAATAGACTGTTAACAATATGATAGTTGATATATGTGACACAGTGCAACAGTTTTCTAAGCCTAATTCTTAAAATGCTTGCAATCACCACTTAGCTCCGAAAATATTGCCTACTGTGTTTGGAGAACCATGACAGGTGCCAGGCCTTTTAGTAAAACAGTACCCAACTGCACACTACCACACCAAATCAAATGGCCAATGGCACACTTGGAAGTCACACCACATAGGTTCAACATTTTCGGCTCTGAAAGCTTCGGCCTACTGTGTGAATGCTTATGGACGACATCAGTATGTCGAATGAGTGTGCGAGTGTGTGTGTGTGTGTGTGTGTGTGTGTGTGTGTGCCTCCTGTGGCGTTCCCTTCCCAGCTGAACAAGCATTCTCTGGTCCAAATGAAATTAACAGCTAATCCACCAGCTAATGACCACACAGCAGCTAGCATGCAGCAAAAAATGAACAAAGCAGCCCAAATAAAGCAAAATGAAATAAATAAAAATAAGGATGAAACAGAGCTAAAGGGATTTGAACAAACGGGTGGCGAGAAGTGTAATAATATTCAATTTGTGCAGCTGATTTGATGCTCTTTGGGAGAGCGGATGAAATGGCAGATGAAAAGAGAGAGATTGTCTTCCTCCTTTGCAGATGTTCTTTTTCTGTTAAATGTCACACAGTAAATGTCAAAGGTGGAGAAGAGAGGTGAAGACGAAAGCAGAGTTTGCTGATAACACTTCTCCCAATGCTTCCTTTCTTTTCTCAGTTTTTCTTTGTCCCTTCTTTGGCATCCTCAGACCTGTAGAGGTTTTTTTTTTTTTTTTCCCGGCCTGTTTTGAAGCTCTTCTCTGCCAGCTTTTTTTTGACTGCCACCAACATCTGGCCCTGTGGGCAGGATTTACCCCTACATATGCATGCAGGAGCACATGCTCATGTGCAGCCCCGCACCATCCTCCCCATCTTCATCCTGCATAGACGAACACGCAACCCAATTGCCTCTGTATGCTTGTTTCAGAAAGATAAGTGAAGCGAAGGAGAAGAGAGTGGGAGCATTAGCTAACAGACTTATCTGTGTGCCACTGCTCCAATTATCCAATATCTCCATTAGGCATTCAATGCAACCAAGGGCTGTCATGCAGGAAATGTTCTAAGGGCTTCAGTCCTACAAGTCGGAATTGGTGAAATGAGAAGGCCTCTTTAAATTATACATATATATTTCACGCTCATTTAAACTGATATAAGTAGTCATTTTTTCAAAAGACTGTTTTATTTTATATGTGTGCATGTAAAGAAAAGCCGTTTTTGTTGGCAGTTTGAGAGCCAGTTTGAGAGTGTGTTGGTTTCTCACTGCGCCGTGTGTGTGTGTGTGTGTGTGTGTGTGTGTGCGTGTGTGTGTGTGTGTGTGTGTGTGTGTGTTTGTCTGTGTGTGTGTGTGTGTGTGTGTGTGTGTCAGTCCCAGTGCCGAGCTGTGGGTACACTGACCAGGTCACATTCAGTTATAGACCACCGCCATGTGACTGGCGGCAGCAGATGCTTACGCTGTGGTGTTTAGACGCCACAGCTTGGCTCACACACAGGTCCACACACTCCATTCGGCACCCGTGGTGGAACACAATTAGCACACTTCCACACCAGGAGTTTCTTTCTCCTCCTCCCTTGCAGCCCAACAGACGACATGAGACTACCATTCCTGCTTCCTCAGGTGGGTGTGTGTTAATGTGTGTAGCCATCCTCTCTAATCTCGTCTGTGTTCAGGGTTTTTTTGAGGGTGAACCACCTCCTTCCGGCCAGCCCATCTGTGTCGGGCTCTTAGCTGTCTACCTTCCTTCCTTCTAAGATGTCTCCATTCACTTGCTGAAGCCAAAAAATTAAAAAAAAAAAAAAAAATTAAAAATTAAATAAATCAGTTTATGGATGAGCAGAGCGAGGTTCGAGTGACGAAAGGAGACTTTTATTCGAACACCCTCTCTTCATTGGGTTACTTAGTCAGGTGAAGCCCTGAAACAGGTGTTTGTGAGTGAAATCTATAAGGTGTACAGCGCACTGTGCACCGTGTGTCATTCTTTTCCGGCTTACCTTGGTGATCTTAGGGTACGAGCAGCGGCTGTTTCCGGTGGTGGCATGCATCCAGGAGCTCTCGGCAGGAGCACACTCCTGTCTCAGGGAGCACTTCTTCTCCCCCACGCACCAGCCACACTCGAACCGGGGGTTCGCCTTCAAGCACATCCCACAGCTGTCTCTCAGAGCGTAGCACTTATACAAGTGAGCTGGAGGGGAAAAGAACAAGAAAAAATGGAATATATGAAGCATGGCTAAACGATGAGTGGATGGATAAGTCGAGCGCAAGAATCCAATTACCTCACAATCAATATAAGAACGAACCATGTAGACAGTGACAAAACTATAAAGAAATAATCTAAGTCTATTTATTTCAAGAAACTCAACTTCAACAAAAAAACTCTCCCGTGTCACTGAGGCAAAGTTGAATTAAGGCCACGGGAATAGTACAGCAAAGCTTTTCTACTCTCTGCTATTTCAGCCCCAAATCCCATTGGTCACGGAGCAGCTCTAAAGCAACCTTGTACCAATTACTGGCAGCTAAATCATTCCCCTCTAATTACATTAACCTATAAGTATTTAACCAGCATTGCACACACAGCACAACCTGATTATCGGGAGTGAGACATACGGACGAGTGGAGGAGGGATCTTTGGGTTATAGGTCACCTCTGCGTGCACTTCAGGAAAGGAAATCCACATTTGAGATAAGACACAGTGCAAAGACACTGACACATGATCCTGATAATGTCTGCAGAAAGACGGGTCTCTACATACAAATGTGGGATAGGTTACAATGACACCCATGTGACATCAGACAAGGCTAGCAGTTTGAGAAATATGTGATATGTGATACAACAACAGCTTGCCTAGTACATTTACACGTCAGCAAATAATCAATACATTCAATGACTTCCATAAAGGCGAAAGGAAATAATTTATTGTTTTAAAAACAAGCTTTTTAGGGGGTTATATAAAGAGGAATCAACCTTTAATTTAAGGAGAGAAAGAAGGATGTGCTCAGAAACTCTAACGACCAGGGCCAGACAACGCCACACCCTGTGCTCTATAAAACCTCTTGGATGTGTCATCCACAGGCCATATCGAACGATGATGTGATTTTACCTCTCGGCAGGGGAATAATGTTACCGTCCCCCCGTTGTGCTATTCAAGCCACCATAATTATGGAGACAGCACTATAAAGTCTTTTTTACCAGTAATTATATTGAACAGACATGATCTCATTGTCTTCTCCCACAATGGAGTATTTGGAATATGTATGTGCTCAATAATTACCCCCATCGGTTCTTTATTCAGAGGTGTGATTGTGCACAGAAAATAAATATCATGCTCTTATGTGCAATTACATTATGCACACCATCATGGAAATAATCTGCACAAAGTTACCGAAACACTGCCCCATAGGTTTGCAGTTCACTGTTGTGCTTGTAAAATACCTCATGGAGGCAAAGTCCAGTCAGTAAATTAGAAAGACAAACAGACCAGAACGTTTGATCTTCTCCTGCTCTGTGTCTTTTTAGACACAGAGCAGTGTTTTTAGCCACAAAATATTCCCAGTGGGAAAAAGTGGGTGGCTGTAACGACACACCTCGTGGCATTGGATGTGGAAGGAATATCTGTAAAGCACTTCCTTTAGCACATCTGTTGCTGTGCTGAGGTTTAAACCCTCTAAACTAGATCTTTAACTCACCTTGAATGTTGTAAGGGTTGTCGATGACAAAGTTTCCATTCCAAACTACAGACAGATCCACTGGCAGGTCGCTGATATCATTGCCCTCATAGGTATACTGAAATGCAGAACACACACAAAAAACAACAACACAGGATTAGCATTCTTAGTTTTTTTTTATCTTAGTAGTTTTTACACTACTTACATCTTCATAGAACACCACAAATCTTTTCAATACAACTAGGAAATTAGTCAAATAGAAAAACAGGGGGAAAAAACACACAAAACAATGAGCAAAGTCAGCTCAGCAAGTGGATGGTAGTAATGTCGCACGGAGCAGAGCTCGTGCAGTTAAAGGGCCATAAAAATGAATGATGAGCGACGGCCTATATTGTGATTTTTACACACGGCACATCCTCTTCTGCCTGGAAGAGCGCAGAGTTGATTAAGAGATTGGGATCCCCATCACCGCATGACTCATTCCATCCCAGTGATGAATGAAAAGCATAATATATCTCCAACAATAATATTCTCATCTAATTTCATTTTTGCATCCTGAACTAATAAGAGTTGAAATGTAATTGACTCGTTGTTGGCGTAATCAGTTTTACGGATTTGCTTTAAATGAGACAACAAGCTTCAGAAGCAGCAATGCGATGGTGGTGCGTTAAGTGAGAAAATGACGGAGAGAAAGCTCCTATGAGACCCTTCCCAACAAAAATGAATTATCAGGATGATTATCAAAACTAAATAAAATGCAGCTTTAGAGGTTAACGCCTCCATTATTATTGTAAACAGAGCAGACAGAAACTGAGGTAAACATCCAGTCTTCTAAAAATATCCATTCATCAAGATACTCAAATTCTAACACGAGACACTCTGCATTATTAATAGTTCAGCTCGTTAGGACTGAAAACAGATGCTGGTTTACACACGATTGCCTGTTTTCTGCACTGATTTGGGAGTGATGGCTGGCTCTAGTTCAGATATGACCTCATGCTTTGGCCTGTCAAAGGGTGACCAGTCACTCTCACCACTACTGGTATGGTCACTATCTTCAGTAGCCTCAGGATGAAAGATAGCAGGACTCTTGTGCTGGAGTGATGATAAAAATCCGATGTGAAAGCCTGGAGCCTGAAGCTACGGGGCCCTCACAGATTGAATCAAACTACAACTTTGCAACTATGAGATACCACCCACTTCAGTGAGACTGTGAGATTAATCTTGACATCTTTAATAATAGTGATTTTAAATGTATTGGGGAGGGGGGGGGGGGTGAGAAATGTGCATAGACAAGATAAGAAAATGAGAGGACACAGCGATGTCACAATTTGTGAATGGCTGATTAATTCCTTATTCGCTTCTGTGATTGGATGATTTGCATTTATAGGGCCCTGTAGGTAGAAAGAACTAAAGAAAGAAGGCTCCATGAAGCTCAGAAGAAATTATACTTTTCTCTTTTAGACTATGTTAGGAACACTTTCTTTCAAAATATGATTTAAGGCAAATTCCAGCCCTGGTTTATTTAGCAGCTCTCTGCCTCACAAACTCATTCACATACTTTCACAAAATGGAGCTCGACTTAAAGGACACTATTTAGAATTATGAAGCACAATAGCTAAATAGATAAAGCTGAAAGTTTTTACAGAGTCAAAGAGGTGCTGTGTTCTTAGAGGTAGTTTCTACATAGATCAAAGGGGGCAGGATGGGATGACAACATGGAATCCACCCAGAACAAATCACAGGTAACAAACGATGGTTTCAAATGTAAAAATAGTTTGAAATGAGTGATTGCAAGTAAGTGAAGTGGGAGAAAAAAGAAAAGATGCTGAAAAAAAAACAAGTAGGTAAAAGAGGCAGACAACATCCAGCGGCAGAGGTGATGGAGAAATGGCGAGGGCAAGATGGATAGAGAGAGGTGATTGTGTGTTATTCTGTGGACACCTTTCATTTACACATGGAATGAGAGGCTGGGGCTGAGCTATAAGCGCTTGAGCTGGTGGGGGCTAAAGTGAAATTGGCATTTTCAATTTGTTCCCTGACACGTCTGCCTCGGCTTTTCACACATTCCTCTGCACCTCCTTCTCTCCCTATCCTCCTTCATAAACCCTCCTACTTTTATTTCTTTCCCCCTTATTATTCCTTCCCTTTACCCATGTACAAACCCCCTCCCCATCAATCTCAGCCTGACTTCTCTCCCCTTCCTCAATCCCCCAAAACGCCCACAGTCAAACAAGGAAATATGAAGCCGGCTCCTTTATCGCATACACCAAACATCTCCAGAGAAACACATGTGTACACAGCACTATAAATATGCTTCTTGCACGTGGGACAGTTTCCAGAGAAGGATGCCAGCAAATTCATCAAAGACCAATCAAACGCTCTACGCAGGAAATAAAAATGATAAATAAATGCACACGTAAACACAGGAAGATAAGGCACTCAAACAACAACGCGATGTGGACATCAGCTTTTATTTCTATCCCGCGGTTCAAGCATATGGGCTTCTTCAATCGGTCCCATTCACTTCACCACCAAGAGACCACCCAGTGTGCCTGGGAACAAGAGAGCTTTTTCCTCACTGAGGAGATGGAGAGAACATGAGTATACTTGAGAGTGTGTGAGCGTGCAGGACAATGGGAGAAAGAATGGGGAAGAAAAAGGAGATGCCCAGAGACACTGCCCTGTGAAGACGTGGAGAGAAGAAAAGAGCATAAAAGAATAGCAACAAGGAGGAGATAAGGAGAGAAAGTGAAAGGAGAAAACAGATGACACATCAGAGATAAAGCTGACACTTGAAGGCCAGAGAGGCAGGTGGGACAAAGATGCTCAGAGAGGGAAAGATGGAGGTAAAGCCAGAGAAAGAGGGGAGCCTTAGAGCCGGGGGGCGGCTCTGCATTGGGCAGCTGCTGGAGCAGAGGAAGTGTTTGAAATGTACAACTTTTGTTTTGACAATGAGGATTGTCTGCATTATGAGTAGAGCAGCTGGTATTCTCACCTTCATGCACTTTTCTCTCAAAAAAGAAAAGGCACGATAGCTAGAAAGCAATCCAGTTCTTTCAATAGTTTTGTATTTTGAATAACAGTGAATAAAACAAGTGTACAATATGTTTCTAATCAGTACGCCAGAACCAAAGCAGATTTATTAGACTAAAAAATAAGACCTCGTAGAGAAAGATTTATGCACACTAAGAATAATAAAATATCAATAACGTCTCTAAGATCCAGCTAGATTAATTGTTCTGTGTCCATATCAATACAAAACTAATATTTGTTTAATTTGAGGCCTTAACTTCCTATGAAGTTATTATCAGTAAAGCAAAGCAAAGACGTTTATTCGATGGAAGTCAGCAGAGTTTCAGCTGACACGTTTGACACGTCTTTGCGTCAAACCCGTCACACAGCACACTGAGGAGGGGATTTAGCCTCAATAATCTGCTGCCAAAGTGTGTTATCCAGCTCTGCGCTGAATCCACCTCTATATTTCACTGTCATTAACTTAGTCTTCATGCTACTCCGATACATCCCCTCAGGACTGAGAACCTGCCACAGAAAAAGAACAGGAGGTCACGCTACCTTTCACTTCCACCTTCGCTTTTCTGCTGACCAGCAAATCAGCGGCCGGCCCGATTCCCCCTGAATCACACGGCCGACTCCGCTTGATAAAGTAATAGATGATGGATGTACGTGGACCTCTTAACCTTGCTTTACAGCCTCACAGGTACTCTCTTGGAAAATCTGCACCACACACACACACACACAGGGAACGTGTAGTTGTGCTGACAGCTAATACAATTACGCTGCTAACAGACTTTTTTTATCTATTTTTTTTAGTAATCCGTGTTAAAGGTAGGTGTCTGTGTTTGCACATCCAGCCTCACAGCAGCGTGTTATGTTGGGAAAGGGGGAAACTGGGATCTGCTCAACAAAAGCAATAATATTTAGTGAGGGAGAAGTGCATATGTGCATGTACGTGTGTTTAATGGGCAGCGGAGGGAGGGGTACGAGCAGCAAGGGTCAGGTTATGACCCATCTTCTCCCATTCCACCAAAGGCTCTTTAAACTTTTATACTGAGCCAGAACATTTAAACAACAGGGAAAATAAGCACACATGCTGTGTGAGATTTACCCAATATGCAACAAAAGCATTGTTCCAGCAAAGGTGAAAAAAGGAAAGAAGAGATGGGACGAGAACATGAATGCTGCAATTAGACAGTGAAAAAGAATTCATCCAACATGGCGAAAATCTGAATTGCACATGTTCACAGTTTTTGTGGCAGTATGATATGGTTATATATGAAAGCTTACCCTACCTACTCTAAAGGACGCAGAGGGAAAGGTTGAGCTGAAAGTTACCAGAGGCTAAATGACAGATTGATGAAGGTGTTAACTTTGTTTACCAGGTGCTGAGAGCATGTTCTGAAGTTAGAATGATTAAAAACAAAAGAATGGGATATAAAGATGAGAGAGTGCTTGGAAATTGGAATACGAAACAGAGGATACGGGGAAGAGATGGGAGAAAAAGGCAGGAGAAGAGGTGAAGGTGGAAGCAAGCTAGGCATGAAGTAAAAATGAGAGCCTTCCGTGAGGGTCAGAGCCTGATAATTAGTCATTCTGAAGTTGTGCTCAAGCTGGACAACTAAAAATATCAAACCCGCCCCGGGCAAATCCATACCTGGGGGGAGGATGGGGTTATTCTCCTTATTTTTCCCCCAGCTTTCTAACACGATGACAGAGAAACCTGACCTAACACAAATTCACCTTCAATCTCCATCATTCCAGCTGTACGATGTGTCAAACAAGGACACAGTAGAAGTAAAGGACACTGACTGAACGGTGGTCTTTGTGAAATATATTTCACCAATTTAGATAGATCCGGGTCTGCGTGTGTACTTCCATACTCACAAACACACACACAAACACACAAGACTTCCAGGCAGATATGGCTTCCTAAACAAGGATCAAGTAGTAATCCTTCCGACAGCTTAGGGAGTGTGTGTGTGTGTGTGTTTTTGTGAGTACTGCATGTGTGAGGTCAGAAAACTTGGAATCAATACCCACTCATAATAGGGCCCTGTTAGCTAGTGCTAATCACTAATGCTAACAGGATTGGAGCACGGCCGGACCCAGTAACCCAGCTTATCTCTTGCTCCGAGATGCACACAATCCCACGCGCGCGCACGTGAACACGCAGCCATGCACAAATGCTTTCCTTGCTAATGGAAAGAAAAAGAGAGACATGGGAGCTGGGGAAAAAATGCTGGCTTGAGAGAAAAAATAATGCTGCCATAGTCACTGTTTGTTATTTTTCGGCCGGCACATTAAGCTTGGCTAAGCTTACGAGACTTCTCCCTGGACAAAAGGCTTTTTTTTGTAGTTTGCAGAAATGTCCCTATCTTTGGTGTCCTCACTCTTTTTCCTCTCTATCAACTTAATGTGGCTTTCCTCTCGCCGCTGACTTCCTGCACAGCAACAAAGCATAAACCTCATCACATGAGCAAATACACATTTACTTAGTACTTAGTCTTTATCAGAGGATCAATGTCAATCACAGGTAAACAAGGGATTGGCTCGTTTCATCACAGTACAGTGTTGCTGCGGGTACTAGCAGCGTAAAAGCAATCATTCCTGTATATCAGAGGATTTTCCTTATTCTCAAACATTTAGTTAAATTTTTGCTACAGCAAACGTCCACACTGAATACAGAGAGGTGGATTTAAAGAGCCGCGCTGCCAATGTGCAGAGTGTAAGTTACAAATTACAGCGGTACACAGGAAGAGACAGAGATGGGCAACAGATGATTAAAAAGAGGTGGAGTTCAGGGTGGGGAAGTTGGCATATGCTGATATCTGGCAGCAATTAATTCTTATTTATCGGGGACAAGAGCGTGGGAGTTGTGCTCTTCACCTGTCAGGTGGGAGGAGGAGAGGCAGCCAGCCAGCGACAGGGCACGCACCGGGAGGAAGGCGGAGGCTTCAAAGGAGAGGGAGGAGGGGAAGAAAGGGGCAGTGTGGGACAGCCGAGGAATGTGCACGATGAAGTCGACAGTGATGGGGGATAGATGGGGAAAGCAACCCGGGAAAACAAAAACATTCCCAGTGTGAGCAGGAATAAATCGGCGTCTCGCTGAAATCACTCCGACAACGTACACATGCATACATTTTTAGCAATAAATAAAAAGATAATTGGCAGGAAAAGAAATGCAACAATCATATATTCACAGGTGGATTATTCCCACAATCAGTAAAAGACAAAAAACAGCACATAAGACAAAGCTGCAGAGCCCTGAAATCAAAGTCAGCTAAGCCTCATCTGAGCCATCACATGACAGCAGTGAATAGTCTCTTATCTGCAACTATTCTCAGCAAATTCCACAGAATTTCTTTTTGCTCTCTCAGTCCAGCGCGCACACACAGAGGCTGCACGCCAATTAAAGCCGAGCCGGCGCTGCCGTGTGTGAACGGGGCGGCAGGTCTAATGTTTATATCTCATTAAGCTGTGCCGGGTCATCCAGCACCAGGCTGTAGCCATGCCCCGCCGCACCCACCCTCCACTCCACAGCACCGCTGCCCCAATTAGACTCATTCATGCCACCTTTAGCAAAGCCTCTGTGAATTTATGGCTCGACTATAATGCATTTGAATCGAGAGGTTTACAACTAGCCGTTGCCATCGCTAACTTATATTAACAAATCCCATAAAGTCGCAGGACTGACGCTTCCATTGGCACTGTACCTGCAACACTAGTGCGGTTTGCCCGCAGACAGCTCATCCCCAAACCCTCTTTATGTTCCTTATATCCGGCCATTCATTGACTAATCCATTTTCCTTGTTTGTCATCCTTCTCTCATCCCCACCTGAAGAACACAGGTTCCTTGTCATCTTCACTTTAATTTCATTCTTTGCCCTCTCTTCCGTCTTTCAGATTGTTTCTTCTCAAATATCGGTCTTGAAACTTCCTTGCCTTTTTCTTCACTGTTCTTTTCCCCTCAAACTTTCTTTTTAGGACTGCAATTTGCTCCAAACCCGTCTTTTTGCTTTCTTCTTTGGCTGTCTTGCTGAATGTGAGTCTGTGTGTGCACACACACATACACACACACACACACACACACACACAGCACTTATGGTCTCTGCTGCCCGACTGCAATTCATCATCATTTTATCTCCCTTAATTGGAGGCCATCAGGCCCCTAATACGTTGCATCTCTTCTTTAACAAACAGCTGCTCTCTCCACACAGACACACACACACTCAGAACAATGGCACAAACACCTTTTCCATGAGCTTGATTTTCTACTACTGCCCCCATGTAGGATTTTTTCCCCCCCAATTTCCTCATGACGGGTTGGGAGAAAGAGGGTGATGGAGTGTCCGGCTGGTTTATCAGACAAAAGGTAATGGTGTAAAGCCCGTACTGATGGTATCTGTCCTCTCATTCCCGCCCTCCAGGGAGAAACAAAAAACAGGAGGATAAAGGGGGGGAAAGAGGGCACGAAAATGGAGACGTTCAAGTGGACAAAGACCAAATCAGAGAGTGATAAAAGGAACTAAAGGGACGAATCTTTTCACTTGGAGTCTTTTCTCTTCTGTTGACCTCAGTCTTAAAACGGACCCCGGCTGATCTCCATGGGGCCTCTCTGGCATGAGAGTGTGGTTTGTGTGTCCACAAGAGTTTCCCTCACATGACTTTGGCATTTTGAGATCAATTCCCCAGCCTACATCTCAGCATCCTATTGGCTTTTGCACCTTAACCACAGCCTTTCATTTGACCACACACACCAGGAAGCTGCCTGGCCCAGGTCAGGAAAGCGTAAGGCTCCGATGAAGGCACCAGCTTGTTGTTTTGGTGGCTGCTGACCAGAGTTAACTCCTACCATAAGGCCCAACGGATGGCTTTGAATGTGTCAGTAGTAATGTGGGCTTGTTTGGCACATAGAAATAAGAAGACGACTTGTTTTTCTTGCTCGCAAAATGATCAGCTCTTCCCTCCAATTAAATTGCTCGTGGACCTTGGATGGACTGCCATTTCATCAACTTTTACAGGCTCCAGAGATGTTCAATTATGTTTGGCGCTGTCCCCAACTTCAAAAGTCAGAAAATGCAGACTGTGTGATGAACAGTTACCTTGACATTAAAAAGCCTGAAAGTTCAACACAGCAAAATGTAAATCTTTGAGCAGTTGTTTAAAACCTGAATGCCTTTAGCATGAAACGGGTTACTTGTTTTAAGTCTCTGCTTGCTCGAGCAAGCCTTTTTCCAATACTGCATTCTTGCAGGTCGTATGATCTTTCCCCCTTTGGGATTGGTTACATACAGTAACTTTATACAGAAATGTAAAATTCTCCCATGAGCCTGTATGGATAGTCCATACACAATGAGGTTAGTGAGGCGCTTAGGTTACGCCATCATATATCATATGTGCCATGTATACAGTGGGCTATTGACAGCCTTGATGGGAGATATGTTATCCGGGTCACCATAAAAACAGCAAAGTATGGGAAACAAGAGTTTAAACATGATCTGACTATGGATGTTCTGAATATCCCATGGATATAGTTATCTTCCTTTGGCTGGTGTGATGATATTGCAGGAGAGAAAGGAAAATGAGTTTTGGCCTCAGGAGAGACTTTTGAGACGATTTTTTTTTCCTTCGCTGCCTCTCATCTCAATCTTCCCCCTTCTGTTCTTTTTATATAACGCTCCCTCTCACTTTCTCCATTCATCCAACTTGAAATTGTCTAGTACAGTCCAATTTCCCAAGTCCATCGTACTCCCTCTTGTCTTCATTTTTTAGTTTAAATGAGTCTTTGGTATTAACTTCCTGTCACTTCTGCCAAGCTTTCCCTGCTGTTACCTCAACTTCAATGCAGTTATTTTTCAACATCTTTTCTTTGTGTCCTTGTATATTGTCCTATCTTAATCCCTAATTCTCCTCATTTCACCTAGCAACAAAGTTGTCCAGTCCATCCTCTGTTCCCCAGATATCCTAAGCAGACTTAAGAGCCTCTCGAATACAAGGCTAAGCTATGGATGAGACCCCCCCCCTGTGTTCATCTCATTAGTTAGAAAAAACTAATGCCCCATCAAAACAGATTTCTTACATTGGTCTAAGGCAGCCGTACATCCGGACACGCACGGCTGTCCTTGGTCCCACAGCCAAAGGCAGACTGGGGGATGCACATGTCAACATGCTCAGAGACAATAACTAACCCCTCTCTGCATGTTCTGTAGCTGTATGCATACGAGTTAAGGCTGCAGTGGGTAAACAGCAGAAGAGATGGCGTCTATTTCTACTGCAGTCATGCATGATTCATGGAGTTGGTGCTGAACATAGTCAAAGTAAAAATAAACAGAGGGATGTGTGTGAAAAGAAGAGATATGACGGTCTATAAATGGATAAACTAATATTTAAGACCACCATTCTTCTGACATACAGCTCTAGTGCTATAATAAGACTCATGCGAATAATTCATGACACATAATTAAACTCATAATCTGCATGAATTATTCCTGGCAAGTGGCAAGTTCATGCAGCTGGCCCCTTTTCCATCTATTGAACCTTAAAAAAAGGTGCATTCAAACACAACATACATCCTCCATCACTATCTGACCATGTAGCCAAGTTTCCACTGTAAAGCGCTTACTTAGCTGCAGAGCTAATAAGGGCCAAGTGTTGACAGCCCGAGGCTAATTACCACTAACATGTCTGCTTGCAGACGTCAAAAGCACAAATTCAGCTTTTGGCTGAGGCAGGACTTTGTGGCTGATTAAAACTGGTCTCGCAGCTCCAATAAACAGTCAATAAACAGACATCTCTTTGGAGAGACAACCCTGTTGCTAGATAATTACACCTTCCTTCACAAACAATTGCCTCTCGAGCGCCAACACCTGTAGACTACCCATCGATATGGACAAATACTGTCATACGGACTCCTCATCAAGCCATACCACGGAAACTACAGCTGGGGATCCATATGCACATTACTTCCTCAACCTAACAGAATCGGTTGCTGCAGACTGGTGGATGGTAAAGAGCTAAAGTTTGCCAGCGCGACAACTTCTGCATGTTTGTGATTCACCTAAATCTGTCAGGTGAATCATCAAAGTCCATCTATGACATGTTGCAGTGACAGCTGCGAAACCCGTAAATAAAGCACAATTAAGAGCTATGGCTCTCATCTGGTATCTAAATCCAGAAACCCGCAGAGGCACCCAGAAGAAGTGAGCGTGTGAGAAGTGTAGTGGGGAAGAGAGAAGGGGATGGCAGGAGTAGGGAAGAATGACAGATGAGGAGAGAGAGAGATGAACTGTTGAGGCAGATAGAGGAGAGGAGAAGGATAGGTATAAAGTCGAGGTGTAAACATGATCAATCCGCTCCCAACTAGGTTCAGAGACAGAATTCCTCTTCACATTTTCAGCCTCAGTGAAGCGCGACGCTAGCTTCCTCTTATCTGTCATGCTAGTTTGAAACCTAACAAACACACACACACACACAGCTGGATTCTAATACCTAACAGGCATGGACCCACATGCACAAATACCAATGTGCACCTACAAATCCTTTGCACATAGACGAACGGGGCTAAAATCCTTTTTATGGAACTTTTTTATGAAAAAAAGAAAAAACCCCTGAGAAAACTTGATTCCAGAACACACTTATCCATCTCAGCCACAGCTAGAAGTCCAAATAAAACAGAAACTTTTGAAAAAACTAGTTCTTCATCCTTTCACACACTCATGCTCGATCAATAACTTAAAATATATTCTACACAAATTATGGCAATAGGTTGTGATTCGGACCTCCATAAAGACGAGTAAAAGCCTTATTATACACGTTTCTTAATTGGAATACTGGCAAAATGCATCCATTTGCCAACTATTAGTTCAATGTGATAAATCAGTATTGGGTCATTTATCTTGACTATCATCAAGCCAGTGAGTGAGCAGTACATAGTAATCTATCACAACAATGAACACACTTGTGTCCAGAATGATCATTAGCTAGGGGAAGCCATTATTTAACCCTGATCACATCAATGCCCTGGTTAGAATCATGATCTAACACATTAAACAGATCAAAAGAAATGGAGCCAAATGCTTCCAGTCCTGACAAACGTTTCATTATGCTTAAGTTTCAACAATTGCCGACCATTAAGGCCTTTGGAATATTGTCACTATAAATTTCTCCATCAAAAAGGAGTAAGGAGGTTTTTATTTTTCACAATAATTGCTGGGGAACATCTCCAACACTTGTAATAAAAGCACGGGGCACATAAACAGAACGATTAGCCGGAATTCCCTGACCGCTTCTTACTGACCGCTGTTTTCTGGCACTGGATGGAGGTGCTGTTGAAGCGCAGCGCAGGAACAATTTGGCTCTCCTCTTGGATGTGGAAAACGCACTCATAGTTCCTCTGTCCCGACTGGGGCTGGGGCAGGTTCTTGGCAGCTAAGGTGATTGGCTTGGTCACGCCAACAGGTATGTAAATCTGGGTTGAAGGCAGAATCTGAGGGCAGTCCTGCGGACAGAGGAGAAGAAAAACACAAACCTTTTACTTTTATCCCCTAAAGGAGATATTTACAGAGGGTTAGATTGCTCAGCACAGTCAGAAGCAAAAGCAAACAAGGCGAAAATAGCAGGAAGATGAGAGGAGAGATGATGAAATAAATCGTTTGTTGCTAACAGCTGAAAAGAGAGAAGGCCTTGGGTTACATATTGCATTTGACTTGATGCCAGATTTGTTTTAAGAGACTAAAGAGCTACTCTGTGATGTGTTGTTCATATAGGTTGCAAGCTTGTGCAACACTCCCACAGGCTTTACAGCACACTGGATTTTTGCATAACATTTGAGCAGGTAAGCTCTTTGTAGATAGTTTATAGGAAGCTATCTATCCAATAAACCTGCTCACATCACAATAGTGTTTTACTGATGAGGCATCAGACTAACCCAGACTCCAGTCTACTACATCCATGTGTGGGAGATTAATGAGCTTGATGTTTGTTGCATGTCTGTGTGCATGCAAATTCTTTCGTGTTTTTGGCCGGATCATTGTTTAGATCATCTGGAAGCAGCCCATCCACTGAGGGGCACAACCCCCGGAGGGGCTGTGTGTCCTCGCATAGACATCTGAGGCAAACAGATTTTTGTCAATGTGCAGTTGAATTAATTAAGTATGTGTGTATCTGGTTATTGGACACGAATATGACAGGACAGTCCGCTCAGTACATAATCTTCCCTGGATGTGCATTTGGGCATGTGCTGGAAGAAATGAAATCATTTCTTCCAGTGTTCATGCCATGATTTGGCAGCAACACAGATCTAATCAACTCACAGAATGAGAGGAAGAGAGAAAGAACAAGTAGGTGTTGGTGACAGATCTAACACAAGATGAGTTAGAGCGCAGGGTGGAACTAACCCACCCTGCGCTCTGCTAGCAAGAGGAGGATAGCAAACCAGATCACTGATAGCAAATCAAACATTTTACAACCTGAAGACACATCATATTACATATGCAGGAAGAGACGGTGCACTGGACATGTTATACAGGGGGAGAGGGGGAAAAATATTTCTGTAAGATATGCCACATTCATGCTGAACATTATGAGTGCCCAACTACAGACTACTTCAAGCAGCATGGGGCAACAGGCTCACATATATAAGTCAGAGGAGCAGAGCGGCATACTCCAGGAAAGAGGAAGGAAAAAAGCAGCCCGGATTCTGGTTAAATATTCACCGCACATATGTCACCTCACATCTCCCCCTTCACTTCTTGTTGTGGCTCATCCTTTAAGCACAAACCTGCCACACACTGTCAGTACATTTCTCTTTCCCTCTTCTAGCTGTCACTGTTGTACACTGGAAGCTACAGCGTGTCCCCGGGGCCTGCACACAATGCCGGAGTTTGTTCATTAGCCTGCTTAGCCCTGGCCTTGGGTGTCTGATCACACACAAACACATGCCCGACACATAATGAGAGAGGGGAATACTATAGGAGGAAGAAGCTTGCTACAGAGGACCTGATGTATAATCAACTAGGAGGGAGGCGGGTATGGCAAGAAATGGTGCAGAGGGAAAATAGATGCTTGAGAAGGAAGGAGTAAGGTTGGGAAGAGAGAGGAAGAGGAAGGTTTGGGGAGAATTTAAAGAGATTGGTCGACATGGATGGGAGGCATAGTGAAAAGGGTAAAAAAAAAAAAGAAAGGAATGGGAAAATAATATAAGGAAACAATATTTAAGCTGGGTTTTTGTATGTCCAACCATCCTCAACCACATCATGTTCCAAGGCTCTGACAATGTCCTACTTAATTAACTGCCTGGAGTCTCAGACAGCTCTAGAAAATTGATGAAGGAAGAGAGGCATGGAGAGAGAGAGAGAGGCAGAGGGAGACAGAGGAAAAAAAACGAAAAGATTGATTTGCACTTGTAGCGTTTGAAGTCCTGTTTCCCAGGAAGGTACTGTGTGCCGCTGTCAAAACCTGTGGGCCAGCATCACCCGAGGTGCCACAAGAGAGAGAAGAAAGGTTTGTGTATCCTGCTGTTAAAGCCAACTTGTGAAATCCGTGAAAAACAAAAATACTGGCACAGTCTGCGGCAGACCCGTGTTTTATTCATCCATCTATCGACTTTGTGTCAGCTCGGCCGTCTGCATGTCGTTTTCACAGGCAGTCATATTACTTTATAGCATCCATTCCCTTCTGCATTATTATGTCTACCATTTTAAAAAGCCAAAAGCACATTTAGCAGCAGTGGAATACAGCAGTTTATACGTAATGGTTTCTCCAACGCTGCATTTAAAACACAAAAAATACAGGGGAGGAAATAGATGTCAACAGCGTGGTGGGAAAAAAAGATGCTGTGGAAGAAGGATAAAGGAGAAATAACACTACTACTTAATCAGTATTAGTGGAAGGTGCAAAAATAATTCAAAGCTCGAACTATGTGCAACAAAGGGAAGCATATACTGAAACAATATTTCAGACTGGAGATTTGTTTGAAGTTGAAGGAGAGTTTCCTCTCTTTCTTTACTTCCTCTGTTTTCTGACCGCTCAGCTTTCAAATAATCCTTTAAGGCGGATGCTGTGGTTTTCCTGTACAGATGAGACACTGAATGGCGCCAATTGCAGGAAGAGCAACAGGAAAGAATAGAGAGGGTGTGTCTATTTACAGAAAGGTATTTTTCTCGATGGGGTGTGTGTGCTAAATGCCCTAGAAATGGTTGAAGTCGTGGTTTTCAGTGAGATCTCTTATGGCCGATCAATAAAAGACCAAATGGCAATCTACGCTTTTCCTGACACACAAATTCTGCAGACCATGAACCGTTTCCATCAACAGCTCGCTCCATAAGGGTCACTTCATCCTGACATAGCTTAACAGATAAAAGGCCTTTTTTTTAAAGATTATCTGTGAGGAGTAGAAGAACAGAACTCACACAGATGGTTTCCCCACAAGACAGCGCAGCATAAAAACACCTGCTCACTGCTCAGGGTTTTTGGTGACATTCTTTGCATTCTGACGTTGTCAGATGCACTTCACCATCAACAGATGTGAACACTCGAGTAAAGAGCTACCTTTAAAGTTGATATTCCAAACTTTAAAGCTCATTACTGATGGCACGTTGGGTAAACAAAAATCCATTTTACCAGCTGTGAAACTCATCCTCACACTCATAATGGACCAGGCTTTAAGGGTGCATGTGTGCCACTGGATTTTTGAGGATGCGAATGTGTTGCTTATGTTACTAAATGTGTGTTTGAGATGGCTCATGTCCAAGTAGCCAGAGGGCTCCCCGAACCGCTCTGTATTTGTTATCCCTCAAAGACTGCTGCTCACTTTGTTGCCTCAGGCTAGTGCTGTAACTCCCATTCTAATTGCATTTATAATTATGCAGATTATAAAGATGTTTTGCATACATTACACCCCTTGTTACAACTTAAAAAAACAAACTCTGCATGCACATTTAAAGAAAATGCATTTAACACAGAATTCACTCAAAGCTGGTGCACAATTAAAAAAAAATCAGTAGAAAAAAACAACAACTCTGAATTGAATAACACTGAAAATGCATATATGATGCATTCGATTCCACCTTGCCCAAAGCTCTCTCAAAGCTCACTGGTTACTTTAAGTTGAGCTTAATCTGGTACTCTGATATTTACCACATCACTTTTAGCATAGCAAATGAAAAAGTATGAGGAAAAATTTAATAAACCTCTGTTCATCTTTGGAGGGAGATAATCTCTTCTTGCAGGTGGGCAAAACACCTTTTAACATCCGCCAAGAGCAGATAATGAGACAGTCGGCATGAAAGTGTGCCTGTGTGTGTGTTCATGCAGATATGTGGAGGGTGAGAGATTAAAATCAAGACAGAGATGTGGTGGGTAGGGGAGCAGGAGGATGAAGGCAAAAGCAAGTGTGGGATTCTAAATAAATAAATAAATGTATTAAAAGAGCCAAAAGAGTTCTGAAGGCTTTGGCATAGCCTGACAAGATATAAATTAATAAAGCTCCAAAAACACTGCGCATTTGTAATGAGGTGGATGTCTGGTGTTTTTTCCTTTTTTCTGTTTTTTTTTTTTTTTTAAAGTCCCCCTCATCTCTCTGATTCCCCTCCTCCTCGAGTCCATCCATAATTAATTAGCCGCCTCTGTGATGTGAGGACTATAGATCAGGGAGGAGAAAAAATAACACGCTAAATAATGAAGTAAAGCGATATGTTGAGCCCAGGGGAGAGATGGGATGGCATGGATGGCCACAGAGGAGCAAGATGGGGGGGGGGACCGGTACAAATAAGATGTGCCTGCACATACGCGAGTGTGACAAAGGGGGATATGCAGACATGTTGAACACGCCCCCCCTCTGCCTGCAGACATCGCCCTTTGGCTTTCCCAAAGAGTTTCCACCGACAAAAAACAAAGAGAATGATAGCTTACATCTAAACTTTCTAAAGACTGTCATACACTCACCGTCCTGAATAATATAGGTCTGACAAAAAAGCAAATATCATTCGACTGTTTGAAAAACTGTTTTGCAGCAGAGCCTCGCTCTCTTCTGTGAATGTGAAGCACGTGGAAACGCATTTTCTTCTACCAGCCCTGTGTGTATCCTTGAGGAGGTTGCAGATATGCAAAGACCAGAACACCAGGAAGCGCACAGAGGAAAGGAGAAGATAAATTATGGTTAAATGAAGAAAATAACTGAATATATGGAGAAACAGTCGTTCAGGTTTATAGGCTGCATCAAAGCCCTATAAAATATTCAAACCATGGAATTGCTTTTGTAATATCAGTGGAAATGTTTTTTGAGGTAAACTAACATATGCACTGTGAAGTTAAACTAGTGCCTCTACAGTCTGGGCTGGCTGTACCTCTGACTGCATTTGTTCAATTTATTGTCAGTAATACTTTCATTTGGAATAATTTCACTCAATTGAGCATCTATTTTTACAAAGCCTGTAAATATGGTTGTAAACCATGTTGTTAACAGACGTCTGCTTGTAAATCTTTACTTAATATCTGTGCAGCACCAATCAATGACTCCTCATAAATCACACTGTCTAGTCAAGGAAAACAGATTCTTTTGTCCTTGTTTCCTGTGCATCAACTATGTGTGTGTGTGTGTGTGAGAGAGAGAGAGACATTGGGAGTTCATGCCTGTTCAAGGCTTGTACTCGCCATGGCAATGAGAGGAACAGGACAAAAGAAATCAATCTATTAAATCAGTATCGACGAAGCTACGCACACTGGCAGTCACTACACCGAAAATGATACAAGCATTATTAAAGCTGAACTGTGGAGTTTGTTCATGTAAAAATAAGACTTCATGTCTGCGCGTGCGTGCACCTATGTGCACGAAACTAGCTCATTAGCGAGGAAAAGGAAGATATATGCTCTGTGACCAACCAGACACTGTGTGAGGGAGGGCGTGTAAGGAACAATCTAATAAGGCAGCAACATGTAGGACAGCACAGGAGCAAAGGAAGCAGGGGGAGAAAAGAGACTTTGAACCTTAAAAGGGACTGCGAGATAGTCTGCCCACACCCCTCTTTCTAAGCCGAGTAGTGATGCAAGCAGGTAGATGTGGAGGGAGAGAAAAAGGGAGAGGGATTAGATCAGTGCAGAGGAATGAACATTCTAAGCAAGGTTAAAGGAAATGGAAGACATACATGTATTTCCGGACAGATGATTAAAGTCTCAAAGAGTTGTCACAATCCATCGACAGGCACGTTGCTCCAATACTCTATATGCACGGTTACACCCTCAGACTCTGCTTTGATGTACCAGGCGGGCAAACATGCATTTTGATTTCATCTCCTAATCCCTCATCCTAGACTTACAAACAAGCTGCCAAACCTACACGGTTTATCCCCGCAACGCACATGTGCCCTAAAACAATAAGAACGAGCAGGAACGTGAATATTTTTGAGAAAGCCTCTTTTCCTTTTTCTCCTTATGGATTTTCATAGCGTAGAGGGGGGAGGGGTGGTGCTGCCTGGCACCCTGTTATCATTCTAACCCAGATATGTCAGCGCCAATCAAACCTTGTGCTTTTCAGCTTTTCAAAGACAAGCCTTGATTTCGGAGGTAGATACGCTCTCTCGTCTGCTGCAGCCTATGGCTCTTCTCCGGAGACAGCATCATCTTTCAGCAAGGCTAGATAAAAAACTGTGAATTTTAGCATCAAAAACAAGTGGCCAGACTTCAAAACCATTGCAGTTTACATTTATAGCGTAGTTTTGCTAAATTCTCTGCACTTAGGCCGTTAAGAACCCAACGTGTAAAGGAAAAATGTATAGAAAATCCCAGAATTCTAAACGGATCATTTTAAAAAACCAAGAAAACCGAGGTCTCTGTTCTACAACTAACACATCAGTCCAATTTCAGATTATTACCAAAACGTTACATTAAAAATAAAATCGGGAGTCCCTAAATCCAGCCATCTCAATGTTTTTGAAGCTTGCATGTTGTGAACTCTGGGCCATCTTGGGTTTTCTCTGGAGTAAGAAACCCAACGGCAAAATGGAGGCCGGGAGGAAAATCAGTGACGGCCACTTTACGAAACAGCATGGCGAAAAGCCCAACATGACAGGCACATTTAGCTGGTCTTGTGAGATTGGCCGTCGCAGCACGCCACTCTTTCTCTATGCCTCTCCGTCCCAGCAGGCAGTCGCCGTTTCTCAATCACAGTCTCCGTTTCTCTGATCTGCTGCACTTCGGAGTTGTTTTTCCTGCAGCATTCTTTACTGCGTTGTTCTCTCTCTCTTTTTCTGTCTCACAGTGACTTGGCAGTTATTTTCCTTCCTTCTATGACACACAAGGGGGCTCGATGGTGAAAATGCAACATTCATCTGTGCTCACCATTAGGCGGGCTGGCTGGGAGTGGAGCTGAAATGAAGATTTAATACAGCCTGAATAATTAAACCACCGGGACCCGTGACTGACACATAGACACAAACCTGCACATGCGCCGAAACTGAAGCGCTCATGTGCATGGCTTGTCGACATGGCCAGTTGTGAGAATCCTTGCTTCACATCTGCTCTTCATTAAGCTTTGGTTGACGTTTCAGTCACTGGGGCGAAACCTGCTGCATCACTGGGGCTTGTCAGATGGGAGCGGATTACATACATAAGTTAATAACCGTGCAGCAACATTACACCTAGCATGTGCTCCCACCTGAACTCCGCTCCACTCGCTGCCTAACGTTTTTTTCAAATACACCTAGCACTTGATCAAGTCAGCGAAGAAAGTGTCCTTCAGATCTGTGTAAACGTGGCACCTAACGAAAGCTGCACTTGCTAAACCCCACCCTCTATCAAAAATATGACTGTGCTGTCCTTGTGTGGCTGTCAGCTGAGCACACTTCTCAGGGCTAACAGTACCAGCCGAGGCAGGCCAGCCTCCCTCGCTGCCTCACCGATGCACAATGTAAGTGCACCGATGCTCAGGCAGAGGATTCGAGAGAGAATAAACGAAAAAGCAAGCTTTGGGATACCGAGTCGGAAAATGGCCACATACGCAGACAAATAAACAAGTACACATGTAGCTACATCCGGCAATGGATGTTCTAGTCAGCTTGAAATCTCTTCCTATATTTTTTTCTCTGACAAAAAGTACGTTTGTGTGGAATGTTAACACAACTCAGTGCAGAGCCACAGAGTCAACAAGGCAACATTAAGCATTCAGCATTTTAGCAGTTCTCAAAAATCACTTCACTTCTAGAGCTCACCACAATGCTGTCGATTAACATATTAGAGGAGTACATGACAGAGTCTGCTAAAACACCCGATACATTTCCACACTGACGTCCCCCGGTTGGAAATGAATGCGACTCATTGATCCCTCTCACATGAGCTTTGGAGTGCCGAGGCTGTTTGAGAAGCACATCTCCCCAACCAAACGAAGGGTTAAACATCTGCTGGTCACAGTCCGACACAGATTCATCTGGGAAAGGAGGCATGCAGTTACTTCACCGTTCCGCCACCACTTCCTCCCCGTGTTCCTGTTTTCTTTCTCCCTCTCCCTTTCCTCCAACTGTGGAGCATTTGGAAAATAAATTGCTTCACTCTGAATGTAATCTGCAGCTTGTTAGTGCCAAAGTTGTGCTACTTGCCTCCCAGACCTTGTCTTGGTCTCTTCCTATATACTTTTATTTTGTCCCTGTATATACATCTGCTCTCAATTACAGCGCCTCTGCCCGTCTTTGGTTTATCACTTGTGTAATATTGAAACCACAAGAAGGAGTGAAATGTTTTGACTAACTGCATGAGGGAAATTATATCCCACCTCCACTCATTCTCTCATTTAATTGTGCCGTCTTTACAAAACTGCTCGCTTCTTATTAAATGTGGCTTGTGCATGTCCCCTCGACATACTGAGCGGAGACATGTGTAGGAGTGTGTTTATATGAGCTCTGCAGTGAGCTAAGTGGAGTCTTCACATGGGGACAGGAATTCAATGGACCCATAAAGAAAGGGAAAGCATGGAAGAACAGTGTGCACCGTGACATGAGGCAAAGGAAAGGAGGTGTAGAAGGAAGGCAGGGATGGAGCAGTGTGTGCCACTACAGTAGACAGGAAAGGAAAGAACCGAAAAGGGAAATAAAAAAAATTGACGAGGAGGTGGCGACAGATATTACCAATAGATACAGAACCCAGAAGGGAGGTAAAAAAAGGAAGCAGATGATTTCATTCAACCACACGCCCACTCCTCCCTCCTACTCACCCGCATGCCCCCCGCAGCCCTGCGCTGCTGGTTGTGCTTTGTCCTGATAAGAACCAGTGACAGTCACACACAAACACACTAAAGCAGCACAGTCCAACACAAACGTATATCCGTGCACAATGAAAAGGCCCCTCAAGCAGCCTTGGCCTCCAGTCTGTGGGATGTCCTTTTTCTAGGGAAAATGTGCATGTGTGTGTGTGTGTGTGTGTGTGTGAGCTCTGCTCAGTGTCTGAGCACCAGCCAGAGTAAACACAATGTGCCAGAATGTCACGGTCCAGGGCCTTCGCACCTCCATCACAAATAACCCAGTCAGCCATACACTGTTTTTGAATGTGTGTGTTTGTATGTGTGTGTGTGTGTGTGTGTGTGTGTCAAACCAGCCAGAGAAAGAAACCCTGACCATGTGTTCCTGTGGCTCAGGATATGTAGAGAGGCTTGTAAGCAATGAGTGTATTCGCTCGATTAGGAGTGTGTGAGCAGAAGACGCTGCCTCAAAAATGGTGGCGGGGCATTGTGAGGCTTTGTTCAGCGTACCGTCTGTACGGAGCCGCTTTTGTTAATGTAGAGTCAGGGGACGGTGTGGGGATGCGTCCGCTGGCTCTGCTGCAAAAGCTGCTATGATACACTGCTTTATCTGGCCGGACTGCTGCTCGTCGATATTTACCTTATAAGTGTGTTAAAGGAAGGAGCCCCCGCGCTGCTGGAGACGTACGCACATACACACTGACTTATTTTTCCCAAAGAGCAGCTTAAATGAAGGATCCCACTCTTCCATCCGTAAAGTAGAAGCTTTCCCGGACCAGAAACTGATCTGCTATGTCAACAACTCTCTGCCAAGAAGTAGTACAGCACATCCTGCTTGTGCAGATTAAGAAAATGAGATAACCTTAATCTGGGACATAAAAAAAAAAAAAAAACTTGTCCCAACAGTAAAATGTTGTATAAGGTTGCAAGCCCCCCCCCCCACCCTGCTCCCTCCTCCATTTCCAGTCATTTAGTGGTCAAGTCTCCCCTGGAAGGCTTTCTGTGCACGGCATCCAGCTGTACACACAAAAGGCGCCAGAAATAGTTTTGTAACAAAGAAAAAAAAGAAAAAAAGTTTAAACCCGGCCCTCAAACATCTGCAGATCAGCACCTCCACTGGCAGACATAGCTGACCCAAAGTGTGTTTTATAAAAACACCAGACAGGGGCCTTCCAAAGCTACTTGCCATCCATGATACTGTAGAATAATAGTTTCTCACCAGCTGATGGCTTTAACACCATATGCACCATGTGAAAATATATCCTCTTCATATGTTTATACGTAAACACAACCAAAGATGAAGCTAAACAAGTAAGAGGCGGGGAAGAAAGGGGACAGGCGGGGAGAAAACACTTTCACTGAATAAACAAGAGTAGTGTGAAGTGCCAAGTTTACAAAATTCAAGAAGTGAAAGACAAACTAAAATAAGAGGACAGGAATGGTGAGGGCTGTATAGGATGATATATGTGAGTGACCTAAAACCTGAAAACACAATACAGACACTGTTCAACAGTAACTGGTAAGATAAAGCTATATGGAAAAAAAATAATTGGATTAAAAAGAGGAATGTGGAAGAGAGTGAAGAGGGAAAAAAAGACGTCCGCGTTCCTCAAATCTCAATCAACTTATCTGCTGCCTCGATTGCTCGAGTGAGACTGAGCCTTGCTTTGCAGCAAAACAAACACGTAAGCTTGTCTTAACAGAGCTGAGCCCAGCCACTCTGGACCCTGCCTGGTACTTATCAAGGCTTTGGCTAAAAAATCAACAGAGAAAAGGGTTTCTTTCCAGGCTGCAGAGGAAGAAAAAGAGGAGGAGGTGGAGGAGGAGAAAAGAAAAGGGTTGGAGTTAGAGATGACAACCAAGGTTCTCATAGTGAGAGGCAAAGAAGGAAAGGTATAAATTCACCTTCACAAAAGATTAAATTAATCAGCAAGGAAATAACTTTGTTTTTCATTTCAGTATTTTTAGTTCCTCTCTGTGTGTTTCCATTTGATATTATAATGAAGAAACTCCTACTCCTGTCCTTCAATTTTCCACCCAGTAGTTCCTTCATTTAAGAATGTGTTTGTTGTGCCATTGGAAGCATTGTTGATTCATGCATACTTGATTTGGTAATATCACTCATTACACTTATTTTCTCCAAGCTCACTCAGTCAATTTACTCCTTTACCTTCACATCTCATCCTTCCTAATCTGACGTGAGACAAAAAACCTCACAATCTTTGCCTGTTTCCGTTCCCTTCATTTTCATTACGTTCCTTTAGCAAAATAGATGCGTGCCATGTGGTACTTGTAGAAACAAATTACAGACCTATTAGATTGCAATTGAATGTTGCAAAGACTATTACATGGTAATGAAGGATTTAGATAATGTCTGATGAAAGAATGAGGTGCAAAAAAGGACTTTATGCAGTTCAACTATCAACTGCCACTTTTATGTATAGAGCATTTAAAGATTTTCATGAAGCTATGATGCTGGTAAATAACTTATCAAACAAGCTTTTCATGTTGATATGAAAAGGCCTCTGGTCTTTTGATTGGCTGCTTACCTGTTAACTCTACTGTGTTGTCAGTATAACACTACCCAGACCACAGAGTCAGGCGGGAAGAAAACTCACCTTTCAACCCCGTGTGAACACTATCTGGCCTTTGATCACTGTCTGAGAAAGCCTCTTGTTCAATCCCATCTACAGTGTTCGTTTGCAGCAGAGCGGCAGAGGTCTGAGTGAAATGTCGGCTATCGGGAGAGCTGCCTTCACTTGTATGCAAAACACAACTATTTGTAGTGCGGATGAAGCTTGAGCGGGGCAAAAAAAAGGATCATCCGAGGTCTAAATTAAGCGTGCGAGCATCTGTGAGCACAGATATTCCATTTTACCAACAAACAAACAAAAAAAAGCAAGCCACATTTCTGCTTCCTCTTTCTCTCTCTTTTCCTTCCCAATACATGTCACAAACAGAGCATGGAAGGTGAAGAAGAGAGATGAGAAAAAGATGGGTTGACTGAGCATCAAAGTTGTGAGGGATGAGGTGGGGAGGGACGGGCCGTGCCCCAGAGAGGAGCGGGGATAAGCCTCGCCTCCAGGAAGAGCTGGACCTGCTGGGGCATCGGGAGCAAAACTAATGGATGTGGCAGCTAAGAAAAAGGATGATGAATGACTGTGTGTGCATGCGTGTTTGTTGTGTGCAGGTCACTGTGAGAATGTTGACACGTTTCTGCATGGAAGACACAAAGCACAGCCTGTGTGTGTGTGAGGCATGGAGCTGATGGATCCTCTATTGGAGCATGTGGCCGGGGTTTTTTTTTGGACAGACGAGGTGACAGTAGAGGTCTCTGCGTCCACATGTCACTGTCAGCTGGTCCGTCTATCCCTTCTTTCATCCTGTTGCCCATTCCACTGTAACAATCCTTCAATCTCTTCAAATTCCTCTCCAGTCACTTGTCTCAGTCTTAGCATTCTTAGCATTACAGTCTGGACTGAATGATAAGCTGTTCAATTAATAAAATGTCAAATCGACGGCTTATTTGATCTGTGGTGAACATTCAGCTGTGATTTTCGTACATGTAATGCCTCAAAAGACGTTCTCCTTGCATACCCATATAATGATGTGCATTATTTTCCTTTCAACCCTTCAAGCCCTTGCTGTTTACCCATGCGTTTGCTGTTCTGACCTCCTCCAGCTCACAGTGTGCTACCGGGTGCTCTCCCCACGCCGTGCAGATGGGTGCTCTAATCGGCTAACTTTAGCTCTGTGAGCCAGGAAGGCCCGGTTTGGACGGGCTCAGAGGCTCGGGTTCAGCGAGCTCGCGTTTGAGATTCTGCACAGCTCCAGTTGGGAGAGGAGATAAAGAGGAAAGTAATTGGATGAAGGCTGACCAATTAATAAAGGCCAGTGAATTAGACTGCCCAACAAGGGGATGGGGTGGGGGGGGGGAGGGGTTAAGCTGCATGTAGATAACAGAGAAGCTCAGACTAAAAACATAAAGAGATAGTACAGAGCTCGTTTGTGTGTGTGTGTGTGTTTATGTGTACGCGGCTTCAGTGAGATAAAGCACCAGCATAACTGTCAGTCACTAGGGAGAGAAGGTGCTTACATCCATAAGTCCATCAAGAAGATATGAATTTTAACGTATTTTTTATTCTATGGGGGCCCTGTACGTGTGATGGTGGTATAAATAAAGAAAAGAGAAAAACACTCTGAAAATATTACCCAGGTCAGTGTCCAGCCTTGTATATACTACGGCAGCTGACAAGTACTTGTTATGCCTTGCATGACGCCCGCTGTAGCTGCCACTCAGCACGATTAATATTAGCTTTTATGCTAATGCAGCATTTGGCTATGTAAGAACAAGGCGGTATTTCCATACAGTCATTCATCCCGGCCTGTTTATGGCCTTATGGGCCACGACAGAATTATTGCTGCACAGTACACAAGCTGTTGTCACTGTGCCAAGAACCACTATTACACATACAGACAGCAGACACACAGCAGGGCGACTCGAGGAAAGCCGGAGGCTAAAGTCACAGTGTGGGTGGGGGTAAGAGTAGGTTTCTAGTTGTCGAACATTTATCCCTGTGTTGCCACAATATGCATTTGCAAGTGGGAGAAACGGTTATATTGAGAGAAGCGAAAAAAGCAAACAAAAACAAAAATAATAAGAGAGCGCGTGCGGAAAGGCATGCTGCATTTTTGTGTTAACGCAGTGCTGCAAGGTGGACCTTACCTCAGAGTTGTTAACACGCCCCTCCTGGAAAGAGCAGTCGTTGGCATTCTGGGTGCACATGTGGCGGTACTTGCACCAGTGGCACGGGAAGGAGCCGTTGACACAGGAAAGGCAGCTAAAACAGACAGATTAGAAGACAACAATAAGAGAGCCGGCAAAGACGTTTGCCATCTCACACGTCCTCCTTAAGCTATATCGGTAAGATTCTTCCACAGTGCACGAGGAGAGAACGATGCATGAAGTAAATAAAGTTTGAAATAAGGTCTGTGATCAGCCAGATTGCCCAGGATGATAATGCTAAATGACCATCTGGTTTCCTGTATTTCTGCTTTACTCTAAAAGGTCTTGTGACCATCAACAGATATATTTGGCATGCTTTTTCTTCTTTCCAACATCTGGCTCCAACTTTTGTTAGTTTCTCTCCACTACTTGCTGCTGCATGCTCAAAGATCTCATTTAACCCTGGCTCATTCTATATTTCTTTACCCTTCTTTCTTTCATCTTTTTCCTTCTCTCTATCAAAACCTTTATTTGTGTCTCTTCATCCCTGCCTCCCACTCTGTCCATCCCGTACATTTTTTCCCAGACTTTTCTTTGTATAAAGCTCTCTTTCATCCATGAGCCTGAGAGTGCTCCACCATTTTAAATTCACCTGCTTTAGTTGAGGCGAGGTGCCGACAGACAGGCTAAAAGAGAAAGATGGGAGACAGAGGAGCAGCAAAGAGGGGGGGGGGGATCAAAAGCAGGTGGATTTCCCTGACAGAAGTGTAGAGACCAGGTATCGTGAGAGAGAAAGGGGAGAAAAGGGGCAGTGGGTGTCTCAAAGGAGACAGAGGGAACATTTTAGACTGGACGTTCTGGGATGTTTAGAAACCTACTCTACGTTTGTATTTACATCTATGGAAACCCACAGAGTAGAGAACCAGACCGGTTTATGCACACACTTTATCAGAAACGCTTCATGTTGTTGGTGCTCTCTAAACCCTCGAGAGACACAAGGCCACTTAGTTTCTCATTTAAGTGAGCAGCATTATATAATATATCCATTATGTGTTAAAGACAATCGTTTAATCTTATTACAAAGTTTCCTAAATTGCAGTTAACGCCGTTCTCTTTAAGAATTTCATCTTTGTGACTCATTTAGCTATTGCGGATATGTGTGAGCATATGGCTTTGGGAAAGCGCAATAAAATCCTACATTTTATCAAGTCAAGGTAAGAAAGTCAGGAGGATGATTTGCATTCAACCACATCTTCCAGCTGTAAATCTGTGCGCATCTGTTGGATAGAATCAGACACTCTTGACAAGCTCTCTAGTGTATTTTAACCCTGTATAAAATGCCAAGTTCCCTTCTCATCATGCAAATGAATAGCGAGGGCTTTAACTCTTGAGCTGTGAGATGGAGCCCATATATGAATCCATCAAACCCTGACGTGGATTCATTTGGATCAATTAGGGCCGCTCGTTTGTTAGGTGCACACTTTAAGCGATCATTTCCAGCCCGGACCCCTCTTTTTGAGCTAGATCAGAGGCTGGAGCTTAATTCAATCCCACTGCCGCTTTAATTGACCAATTTAGCATTGTGCTGACAGAAGCTGTCCATTTAGAATGAAATATATGCAGCTAAGGAAATAACAGGCCGCTTAATACCACACAAGAGCAAAGAGGAGATTTGTCAATGTTGCCGACAAATGGAGGGAAAGTGATTAGGCTACGCTAGGTTAGCTACAGTGCTTAGACTCAAAGAGCAAATTTGGGATTTTAGTTCAATGTTTGGTCCCAAAGAAGCTGGTGAGAAAAAGGAGGAGGAGTACCGTCAATACTGGACAAAAGAGCAGGTGTCATTGCCGATGCAAGACTAAGGAAAACCAGCATTTATTCACACAGTAACGATCACTATTTTGAATGTCAAAGAGTTTTTTCTTTGTTCAAGGCACACCAGTGGATCATTCCTCATCAAAATACACTACAACCCTAAATTAACACAGCAGGTAGCCCAACCTAAAAAGTCCACAGTACAATGTATAGTCAGCAGTTCACAGGAGTCATCACATCTGTTGCCAAGCTCCAATAATAACGGATTTTTTATCTTTTTAATAAGTCTTCTATATTTTATTCATGTCAAATCAAGCTTGTTAGTGTACTCGGTGACTTTAAGATAACGAGAAAAATACCAGCAGGTAACCGCTGCCTATTTTCTTTACTTTTATGCCAGCGGCTTTTGAAATAAAAGAAGGGTCCATTACTTATGCTGCCATAGGCCAACGGTGAGGCCTGTTTAACAACCCCCTACTGCTCTTTCTCGGGCTCCTCGAAGTAACCAGGCCCCCTGTCACGAGTTGCCACTGAATCTCGAAGTCTCTATTAAAGCCTAGGAGCCCACTTTGCAGAAAAGCCCACCCAGGGCCATTTAAGCGCATTCGATTCTCTTGATCAGGGGCGGGCTCCATTTTTCAGGGCCCCCCCCAGTATCGCCTTATTGCTCCTTCCTGTCCTTCTTCAACGCCTGTAGCCATTTGGTGGCTTTGAGCAGTTGGAGATATGCTCCCTGTATGGCCACGCTCATAATGCTAATTTAATCTGTTCATATTCAGATGCTAATCGAGGAACGCTACCTTTGGAACAGCAGCTTTTCTTTAAGGCCAAACACAATAGGGTGTGATTTCCTCCTCTCCTCTCTGCTGGCTCAGTGTGGAGAGCAAAACACAATCCGTTTTCCTGGTGAGATGTGTCTGAGGCTCTTGCACTTGGCAAAATGAGTTATTTATCAGCCTCTATTCATTTGAAAGGAGAGTTGAATTATTCACGCTGAAATAGTGTATGGTTTGTGAATCTCTTTGAAATTAGAAAGGGTTAATAAAACACACACGGGTTGTTGTTTATGGACATAATTCAATTAATCCATGCCAGAGTTTAGAGGAGACTGTATCAATCAGCATGAAGCCCACGCTGTTTTATTCTTCCAAATGTTAAACTACAGTGTGCTGTCTCAGTTCACTGCTTTTCAACTAGTGTCAAAAAGATGCTTTTTTAAGACACTTGGTCTGATTATACAATTTTTACATGCACTCTAAAATTCACAACAAATTACCCGGCCACTGTGAACGCTCAGCTGACCACAGTCAGAAAAGTTGCTTCATGTGACCGTATGCATTCGCTTAAATTACTTCCAGATTAACCACCTTTATTAAATGCAGAGCTGTAGAATATAAAAACACATATGGAAATATTTAATTAAGGAGCAATCGTGGCCTTGGGTGATTTTCTATTTCAATATCAGCAACCCTAAAACTGAAAGACTGGGAATTCTAATTAAATTAATACAACTATGCAAATTTATGGCATTTTAAAAAGGCAGGGGCCAAAACGTAATCAGTTGATTAAATAAGCAGGAGGGGCGTGTGTTTTTGGGGATCAGGGGTTGGAGGTTGGAGGATGAGAGGCATGCTCATGGGAAAAAAACAGGGTGGTAGGATTCTGTTGCCAAGTTTAATTTCTACCTTCCAAAAGGCTGAAATCAATGGTGAAGTTAGACACCGCGACGGGTGGCACGACTAGGCATACAGTGTGCCACGGGAACAAAAAACACAGGATTCATTGATAGCTAATAAATTCTGTTCTGTTCTGCCAGGAAAGCCTCTTTCAAGAACGTCTGCATCCTTCACGGGGTAAAAGCCGACGGTATTTTGGCTCTAAACTCATTAAAGTGAAACTTGGCCCTATCAAAAATGACCGTGCATTCTGGAAACAGAGCCTTGCAGTGAGTTTGCAGCCATTACGCCAACGACATTACCGGTCTGATCTCATCAGACGTCGCACACGGAGGCCTGGGGGGCACAGCGTGTGTGTGGAGCAAGGATCCAGCTCCAAATGGGGTTCTTATCTCTGCATCTCGCCTCGCCATCAGAGTCACTGGAGAAGATGCAATGTGCCTTGTCTGTAACTTCATTAAATATGTCCATTACATCACTCAGAGGATGTATTAGATCAGCACAGGGAATGGATTTAATCAGGGTTCATTGGGGTAATATCTTCGAATGGCCAACTCTCTTGTATGCATCACTTGTCATACATTTCTCATGCTTCATTTCTGACAGCACAACAGGACTTATTGCACTCATTAGGAAAATATGAAATACTTTAATCGAATGATATATTTCCTATTTAACCATACAGCCATTTGTACTCATGGGGTTTAGGTTTGACGTAAGGCGTACTCAAGCTGGTAACTCTACCAGTGGTAAAGCAAACATTACGGGGTCCTTGTGGGAGATGAATTAACCGCGATTTGACATTGTAAACCACCACACCCTTAACCAACTGAGCTAATGATCTTTGTTGTGGCAAGGGATTTATGCACGAGAGCAGGAAGATGGGGGTGGGTGCTGGGTTAAAGGTCACGGTAACAGATTAGGTGTCCAAGACATTCAAGGCCTCGCCGCGCTCTAAGTGACACAATGGGGGGGAAAGGTGTGGCTGTGCGTGTACATGTGCCTGCTCCAGTGTGTTTGTAGACAATCCTCGAAGGAGGTTCATCCAGAATCCGGGGGGAAGCCAGGATGGAGCCCTGCGGTACTCCAGGGGCCACCGAGCCATCTGCTGCCCCAAGGCTAATACCCCAGCAGACGCTCCAGCCTCCCCTGGATCAGCCGTGGATTCACAGGAGTGAGGGGATTGTGCGGGGTGGGGCTGAGGAGTTGGAGGATTCTTTTACCCTGGCAGGGCGCACTGGGCGCGTGGCAGGACTGACCTAGGGGTGTGGCTCTATGGGTGGTGGAGATTTGCAGCAGACGGTGGATTAGGAGGCAGTTAGGATTGGGCAGAGATCTGGGGGCATCTGGAGCGTGAAGGAGACTTATTGGTAAGGGAACAGGATATTGGACGGTGAAAGACTTGCAAATCCATGTGCTAAATTGCCTGTGTTTTTTTTTCTTTCTTTTTTTTTCCACGCTGGCAAAAACACACAGACTGCTGTGTAATGAAGAAATTACAGAAGAAGCAGCGTATAGCGGATCATGACATTAAAAAAAGGAGGAAAAGAAGAAAAAAAAAAAGAGTAGAATTACCATCTCATCAACCAATCGTTTCTCATGTATGGCCCATTTGATTTTTCACTTCAAATGTAACTCAAGCCTCCTGGAGGACGGAGGGAGAGATACATGTGTGTGTCTCTCATGGAGTGTAACATGAGATAGCCCATGGAGGATTTTGAACAAAGAGGCCCTCTCTCAGAAAAAACAATCTAATAAAATAATCCAAATAACAAAATCTTCTAACTTACGACTGGTGGACGCTGCAGTTGTAGAAGACGAAGTCGACACTGGCAAACTTCTTGCCCGTCTCTTTAGACTTCAGGTAGAGCTTCACCACCCGCTTGTCACCTGCATCACAGACAAAGCACAACAAATCAATGAATATATCTTAAATTAATCTCCATTCAGCTTTCTAAACTACTTAAAAAAGTGGAATTGTTTTTTGTTCCTCACATTTTTCACTTTATACTTGCTAGAGTTTAACAGATGAAGCACATACATGTGCACGAAGACCGACAGTAACTTAGCAACACGCTTCTCATATCACAACCACAGAGGGTGGCATTAAAAATAGCTACACCAATCAGTGTTGGCATGCCAGGGCTGATGAGAACCTATAATGGGGCGTAATGCGCTCAGCCGATAAACATCTGAGTCGTCTTTTAGACAAAACCTGGAGCAAACTGACATGTCTTCTGAGCTTTCAATGTGGAAGGCATGCAGCTTTTTTCCCTCTGTGCTCGTGACACAAACTTCTGTGGAAGAAATAATGAATATATAAAGGCGCAGATATTTTTAAATGTAACTGAAGTCACTGCTTTGAAAAGGAGTTGAAAGCACAACCAGTCATTTAGACAGAAAAAAACAAAATTAAACTGAAAACAGCTTATAATGCATGATAATAGGAATTCAAAAATGGTTCTATTTTAAGCAAATATATCTAGAATGCTGCATGGGCCTTTGAATGGAAATGGGTGCCTATTATTGGTAGTGACAAGGTATTCTGAATATAGACGAATGAAGCAAATCAGTTGTAACGTTAAATTCCTTTTGAACGAACGCACAGCTCTTGCCTTTACTGGGAGCCATACATACATTTAAAAAAAAGGGCAACGTGTCAGACATGGTAATGAACATGCAGAATATGACAGCAATAACAGGCCCAAGGTAGAGGTACAAGGCACAGGATGACACACGCAGCCAGAAAGACGACAAGGTGAAGAGGATAAATACAACATGAAACTACAAAAAAAAGGGAGGGGGGGCAGTCGAGGAGTTCATCTTAACATTCCTAATATTACCATTACTCTCTCTATCCACACCCTTAATTTCCCTGAATTCATTTCTCATTCCTTTATCACTTTTTTTTTTTCCTGACCTTTGTTCCGAGTGATGGGGGCGATGTCCCGGGTGGAAGGAGACAAGCAGAAAATGTGTCCACCCTGGATCTGTCCCTCCGTCTCCACATAGTCCTCAAAGGAGCAGTTGACCCCCGCTGACAGATCGGGCACATTACGAGCCTGCAGGACCAGCTATGGAGAAATAAGGAGTGGGACAATCAGTGCAAGATCAATGGAAGGACATGGCGAACATGGATTGTTATAAGATATGACATGAGGGTTAATGGAGGTGGGGAAGAGAGGGGAGGCGAGGCAAAAATGTGGAGATGTGTAACATGAATAAAATAGTTCCAGGCTGTGTGCATGTGAGCGTGCGTCAGTCACAGTGAGGTAATGAGTACACATTTATGTGCGTAAAGAGGGAGAAGGAAACTGCCATCACTCTTGTGGTTAGATTTAAGAGTCGCTGACAGAATGAGAACCGTCATACACACAAGCATACATACAGATAATTCATTATAGATAGAGGATCCCAATTAAATCTACATGGACGTGCTAAAAGTGGCAGAATGGTTTAAAACATGTTTGCAAATGTTCATCAGAACCTGAATGAATGCTACAGAGGAAACCTGCCACAGAATTGGCTCTGTATAGAAATTAACTCCGAGACAAAAAAATATATATTCCACTGTTAAATCAATGCCAGATTTTGTACAACCAGTGGTTGATGTCTAATGTTTGCTCAGTTGCTATATCTGGCAGGCTATAGTCAAGCTAAGTCATGAAGGCAAACAGAAATTTAGCTAAAGTCTCGGCTTGTGGCGTAGAAACATAACCTGCTAACAAATTGGACAATCAACGCCCACTTCACTCTTAATAAATCAGTAAGCAGATTCGTACAGAACCAAACAAAGGAAAGAGAGATTTAGGAAAAGAGATTTCTGCAAAGGACAGAAAGTCGCCTGCAGTCTGGATGGCTGTATCTAACAGACACTTAAATGTGATCTTATTATTGATCTTATCACCTAACTGGTTGCTATAAAACCTGCTGTGTGTCATAATCATAAAACTGAATCT